AAAAGATAAATATGAGAATAATACAGGTATGCAGGGGCAAGATCAGAAAGGCAAAGACACACAACAAGCTCAAAGTAGCTACAAAGGGAAACAAGACGACATTCCATAAATATATTAGAAGCAAGAAGACAACTTAGGACAGAGTAGGCCCACTGCTCAGTGAGGAGGGAGAAACAGTAACAGACAACTTGGAAATGGCAGAGATGCTTAATGACTTTTTTTTTGTTCTTTACCAAGAAGTCTGATGAAGGAATACCTAACCTAGTGAATGCTAATGGGAAGGGGGGTAAGTTTAGAGAAGATAAAATTTTAAAAAAAGTTACAAATAATTTAGAAAAGTTAGATGCCTGCAAGTCAGCAGGGCCTGATGAAATGCGTCCTACAATACTCAAGGAGCTGATAGCTAAAGGCTCAGATACCTCCTCTATCATCTTTAAAAAATTATGGAAGATGGGAGAGATTCCAGAAGACTGGAAAAGGGAAAATATAGTGCCCATCTATAAAAAGGGGAATAACAACAACACAAACTACAGATCAATCAGTTTAACTTCTATTCCAAGAAAGGTAATGGAACAAGTAATTAAAGGAATTCATCTGCAAATGCCTGGAAGATAATACGGTGATAGGTAAGTCAGCATGGATCTGTAAAGAACAAATCATGTCAAACCAATCTGATAGCTTTCTTTGATAGGATGACGAGTCTTGGGGATAAGGGAGAAGCAGTGGATGTGGAATACCGAGACTTTAGTAAGGCATTTGATACAGCCTCGCATGATATTCTTATTAATAAGCTAGGCAAATACAAAGTAGATGGGGCTACTATAAAGTGAATGCATAACTGGCTGTATAACCATTCTCAGGGAGTAGGTAACGGTCCTGCTGGAAAGGCATAACAAATGAGGTTCTGCAGGGGTCTGTTTTGGGATCAGTTCTGTTCAATATCTTAGATATTGGCAGAGAGACTATGTTTATTAAGTTTGCAGATTATATGAAGCTGGGAGGGGTTGCAACTGCTTTGGAGGACAGGGTCATAATTCAAAATCATTTGGACAAACTGGAGAAATGGTCTGAAGTAAATAGAATGAAGTTTAATAAAGACAAATGCAAAGTGCTCCACTTAGGAAGGAACAATCAGTGTCACACACAGAATGGGAAAAGACTGTCTAGGAAGGAGTTCTGCAGAAAGGGATTTAGGGGTCATAGTGGACCAGAAGCTAAAGGAGTCAAGTGTGATGCTGTTGCAAAAAAAGCAAACATGATTCTGGCATGCATTAACGGAAGTGTTGTGAGCAAGACACAAGAAGTCATTCTTCCCCTCTACTCTGCGCTGATTAGGCCTCAATTGGAGTATTGTGTCCAGTTCTGGGCACCACATTTCAAAAAAGATGTGGAGAAATTGGAGAAGGTCCAGAAAAGAGCAACAAGAATGATTAAAGGTCTTGAACATGACTTATGAAGGAAGACTGAAAAAATTGGGCTTGTTTAGTTTGGAAAGAAGACTGAGGGGGGACATGACACCTGAAAAATCGCTATCTAAAAGGGTGTCACAAGGAGGAGAGAGGAAAACGTTGTCCTTATCCTCTGAGAATAGGACAAGAAGCAATGGGCTTAAAAATCCAGCAAGGGAAGTTTAGGCTGGACATTAAGAAAAGCTTCTTCGTTGTCAGGGTGGTTAAACACTGAAATATGTTGCCTAGACAGGTTGTGGAATCCCCATCTCTGTAGATATTTAAGAGGTTAGATAGACATCTATCAGGGATGGTCTAGATGGTACTGGGTCCTGCCATGAGGGCAAGGGACTGGACTCGATGACCTTGAGGTCCCTTGCAGTTCTAGTGTTCTATAATTCTAAGACAACAGCAATTAATCTCTATGTATGTATTGAAAGATTAAACACCCTTTCCACCTGAAAAAAAGTGTTTGTTCTGCTTTCTAATTGGTCAGGTTAGAAACTAAGTTAGTGCTGTCCTACATTAAACTGGTCTCTGTTCAGACAGACAAGTCTGGCTATAAAGGGAACAACCTAGCACTTGTACTATTCTAAATCATTGCCATGGTGCTGTCAAACAATCCCCTGAGGTGTCACAAAGTTTAAAAACCATTCTCTCTCTCTCAGCACTAAAACAGATTGGATTTAGAACAGGGGTAGGCAAGATTTTTTTTGGGGGGGGGAGACAAGATTTTGGAAAGTGGTCAAGGACTTCACTTATGTGGAGGTGCAGGGTAGGGTCTGGGATGGAAGCTGGGTGCAGAAGGGCACATCACAGGGTAAGAGACTAGGGTGCAAGAGATGGTGAGAGGTCTGAGAGGGTGTTTGGGTGAAGGAGGGGGTTGTAACCTGGGTCAGGGAATTGGGGTGCAGGGCCTGGTAGGTTGTTTAGGTGTAGGAGAGGATTCTGGCCTGAGAGACAGTTAGGACCTGGGGCAAGGGAGGGTAGAGGATTTGGATGGTGAGCTAGGGGAGGGAGTTGGGGTGAGGGAGGGGCAGGGATGCTAGAGGCAGGCTCTGGGTGGGAGGTGCTTACCTAAGCATCTCCTGGCTGACTCCCTGCCTGCTGCAGCTCTAGATCACTTAGGCTATGTCTACACTCGAGGCTTCTTGCGTGAGTAAAATGCAAATGAAGCTAAGCATGGAATATTGCTGAGCCTCATTTGCATACCTAACGAGCCACCTTTTTTTTCAGAAGAGGCTCTTGCGCAAGAAGGAGCATCTACACTGCCCCTTCGTGCACAAGAAAAGCCCTCTTGTGCAATGCTGTTACAGTTATTACTTTTCAGGAAGATGGCGTTGCGCAAGAGGGTTTTTCTTACATACATAGAAAAGTTTTCAGAATAACAGCCATTAACCTGAAATAACGCAAGTGTCTACCCAGCAATTCCTTTCTAAATAATGTCCAACTTATTCAGACTTTGGTAAACCTCATTCTACAAAGAATAATACCTATTTTGAAAGACACATGTAGACACTCCACTTCTGCTATTCTGAAATAGCCCCTCAGCTGGGCCATAGTAAATTATTCCTCATGGGGCTCTAAATCAAGATAACATGTCTATATTAGGGAAGCCTGTTAGACTAATTTTTAGGCTTCCCTGCGGTACAGACGTGCTGTTTTGAAAAAAGCTATTTTGAAATAACTGTTCCGGAATAGCTTATTCTGAAATAACTCTGCAGTGTAGACAGCCTTAGAGCTGTAGGCTGGTTCCCTCCACTGGCTCTAAGTTCCTTAAGGGAAGAGGCTCTTCCCCTAGGCCAATCTCTCAGCTCCTATTGGCTAGTTGTTTCCAGCTGAGAGATTGACTGGGGTCAATTCCTATTGGCCAGTTGTTTCTGGCCAACAGGAGCTGAGGAGTGGGCTGGGAGATCACACAAAGCCTCCCCCTCACTCCAGAGCAGAGAGCTGCTGGACTGTGCTTTAAACCTGCAGCAGCTGTGTGCCTGAGGGTCCTAGCAAGGTGGTCTGCAAGCTGGATCCGCTGACTTCGAGCTGCATTTTGCTCAGCCCTGGTTTAGAGAATACATGTATAGAGGCAGTCCAGTAAGTAAAAATAAGAATTCTCCAAAGTTAACTCACAGGGTTTAGGAAACACACTCCTATAACCACAAACCAACATTTTTAAAGAGTGCTCAGCGTTGACCTAATTGCTCCAATCAAAGACACAAAGTTTTACCCTAGACACCAGTGGCAACAGTTAGGACTCTATTGAGTGCATTTGAATAGCCTATGCTCTGTGTCCAATGGGTGGATTGTGAGGATGCGTGTTATATACGCCACTGGTACTTTTTGACCAAGGAGCAGGGGATTGGTATGGTTATCACCTCAGATATGAGTGGCTAACATAGGAGCACTGATGTGGCTTTCAAGCTAGCAGAATCAATCAAGACTAAAATACAAAACTAATAAATAACAAAAGTAAACTATCATGAGTTGCATTTAGTATGGTTTCTAGTAAAAGCATAGGTGTCCTTGCAGGAAAGTAAGTTTTACTAATGCATGTAAATAAAGTATTCATTTATGTTGTTTGATTGTTATTTTGACAGCCACATGACTTATAAAAGGGTAACAGATACCAAAACTACTTTTATATACTTAACTTTTCTGGTGGTTGCTATTTTGACCTTCAATACAGTTGCAAATAAAATTTGCATAGCAAACTGATTTAAAAAAAATCCAGAGATTTGAAGTAGCTATAGGAAAAATCCTGTCCAATGCCATACATATATTAAATGGCTTTTTCAATAAAATATACAGCATACAAATATTAAAAATATCTATGAAGCCAGTCCTCCTCCTTTCTCCCCCCCCCCAATTTTATTTACAACTTCTTAAATCTGGAATCCCTAAGGTGTTTAAACTTTTGCTGTTCAAAGACCCTATTACAGGAAATAGACACATGACACAAACAAGTGAACAAGCAGCTGATTACCACATCTCCTTTGTGAAAACTGGTGAGGACACCTGCAGACAACTAAATGCAAGTATGGTTTCAGATACTACTGTGATATTAGGAAATGCAACACGAGACACACATCAAATTGTTCTTCATTCCAGATAGTAATCCAACTGTTACCAGGCCCTTTCCTGTAGGTATGTTTGTTTCAACTTAATATACCCTCAGTAGCCAGGATTATTACAGATAAAATGTTATCCAAAACACATCTGATGTAATAGCTCGTCAGCTCTGCTTCTTATGTGCAAACTACAAAAAAATTCTGTGAAGTCAGATTCATGGTCCCTTAAGAAATGCAATTTCAGCATTTCCTCAGATTCACTGGTTTAATTTAAGCCTTTCGCAGAGAGTGTGAGAATG